ATGTTAGTAACTCCTTCGCTAGCCGCGTTCGATCTTCAGGGGTTCCGGTGGTGCTGGAGGCGCAGTTTGCTTGGATTTCTATCTGTACCTAATGGCGAGATCCTCTGGCAGACACCGCATCAGCACACAGTTTACGACTACGGCGCACCGGTCGGCCGGAGCTCCGAGGTCTTCCAAAGCACCAACGTGGAAATGCACACTATCATGCAGCAGACGAAGCTTAGAGACCTCTAGCGAGCTTTTCGCGGGGCTTAGGGGGAAGAGGTGACGTACATGCCCGTTCACAAGCAGATCCTGGCGTCCAAAACGACTCGTCAGGGTCTTCATTGCAAAGTCGTAATTTTGCTCAGCTAGACAGATGCCTTCGACAGCTCGCTTCGCACTCCCGGTTAAGTATGTGAGTAGGTACTTAAATATTTCAATGCGTGGCATGTCGATATTTTTGTGGATGGTAGCATTGAAATGGTCCCAAAACGACTGCCATTCACGGAGACTACCATTGAAAGTCGGTATCTGTAGCTTCGGTAGTTTCACTGAACGCTAACGGTGCTCTCTCACCTGGCCTGGTGCGTCGGCGGAGTTCAGAAATCTAAGGTAGCTGGGCCCAGGCTCAGTTGCTTCAGTCTGCGTTCTGGCCGTTCTCTCGCGTTCTTGAAGTCAGTACTTGGCGCGTGACACCACGTAGAGAATTTTCTCACTGTATTCCCAGCTCTTTCTACTTCGTGGTCGATAATTTCTTCATCTATGGTCACAAAGTTGATGTCATCGAGCTTCGGCAGTGCTGGCTCCTTGTCCTTGGGGTAATTCATGTGGCTGTTAATCTGCGAGGTGCCACGATTCGGTTGCAGCAGGAGGTCAATCAGAAGTGCCAGGGCTCGGGTGACACTAGATCTGATTAGGCCGCGCTTTTCTGAAGCTGATCAATGTTTGCCATGGTTGTAACGTCAAAGAAAGTCCCTAGAGGGACAGTGCCGGGTTCCGGCACCAAATATAACAAATAACCGGTCTGCCTACGTTACACGGAGACGACCCTCTTCATTCAGCATAAAGCCAAAGCTGTCAATTCCCCGCGCGTGGCTGTCTCCACCTTCGTCCTCCTCGAAAGACTGGCCTGCTCTAAGACAATATTCTGCTACACAGCTCATATTGAAAATGAATTTCTAGTGCGAATACGGGGCTGTGATTGACTTCCGCGACAGAATCGTATATCGTTCGCTATAAGTTCGGGCACTGCTGCTGATGAGGAACACCAGTCCCCTCGCTTCTGTATTGCCGATGACGACGTCATACTGTCACCACGAATATGCTCCGTGGTATCCGTGAACTGCGACATCTTGCAAAACAGTACTGGCATCGCTGAACAGATCAAGGAGCTCACATTCAGAAGCGGCATTTCTGTTGCCAGGGCTGCCAACACTGTTATTGACGGACGCCCTGAACTATTGTTCACAAATTTCAGCAGAGAACGCCTACACAAAGTTAAAGGCACGGCTATTGCCTATTTCGACGGACTCGCTCAAGAAGAAAATTGTCATTTAGTGGAGAAAGCAGCAGCATAACCATCACTACACTGACACATGTCGGGTTCGTCCAACGTTATATCCCATTGAGCGAGACCGCCTTCTCACGCTGATCAAGAAGCTCCATGGCTGCTTCTCATCCAAATCAAGAGTTGGTCAAACGGCACTGAAGAAACAGCGCATCATCACGGATTCCGACGCCAAAACCATCCGACAAAATCCTTATCGCGTCACCCCAGAGGAGCGTGAGGCAATTCAATAACAGGTGAATGTGGTGTTCACCTAAGGCATCACCTGTAGTGACAGTGCTAACAGTCCTTAGGCATCACCTGTAGTACCCGTAAGTATGAAAGACGGCAGCTTTCATGTATGCATCGACTAAGAGCAGCTCAATTAGATCACAAAGAAGAACGTCTATGCTCTGCCGCGTATAGATGATTCATTGGATAAAATATGAAACGCAAGCTACTTTTCGACCATCGACTTGAAAAGCGGTTACTGGCAAATTAAAGTGGATGAGAGAGATTGTGAGAAGACCACCTTCATTATGCCCGATCGACTTTATGAATTACAGGTACTTTCTTCCGGTTTGTTTTCGGCGCCAGCAACGTCCCAGCGTCTGATCGACACGGTTCTGTCGGGACTTAAGTGGCAAACCCGCTTGGTGTACCTCGACGACGTGATTGTCTTTTCGGTGACTTTCGGGGAACCCTTACAAAGGCTTGAAGGAATTTTTGAAGCTATACGCTTGCCCGGTTTTACTCTAAAACCCGAATAGTGGTACTTTGGCTTGCACGAACTTCAATTCCTCGGTCACGACGTGAGCATTCAAGGGGTCTGAACCGACCTATGTAAAATTACCGCTGTGGCGACTTTCCCGACGCCATCCGACGAAAAATTAGTGCGACGTTTGTGGTACCCTGTGCCTGTTACCGGCGCTTTATTGCCAATTTTTTGCACTTTGTATGGCCATTCACAAAGCTTACTCGGGAAGATATCTCCTTCACACGATGCGAAGACCAGCAGCAGGCACTTCACGAGCTACGTCAGCGCATGCAAACTCCTCCCGTGCTTCCCCACTTCAATGAAGACGCGCCAACAATACTGCATACAGAAGCTAGTAACGTGGGTCTTGGAGCAGTGCTCGTACAGTTGAAGGACAACAACGAAAACGCGATCGCCTACGCCAGCAGGACGCTGGCCCGAACAGATACTAACTACACTAAGACGGAGAAAGAATGTCTTGCAACGGTTTGGGCAGTCCTGAAGATTTGTCCTTATTTGTACGGCTGCCCATTCATAGTTATGAGCGATCAGTACTCGCTCTGTTTGTTAGTCAACTTGAAGGATACATCTGATCGTCTTACAGGCTGGATTCTTCGGCTCCAAGAATTTGACCTGACTGTTACCTGCAAGTCGAGAAAACGACACAACGATGCCGACTGTCTTTCTCAACTGTTGAGACGGCACCCCCGGATGACGAAGACGACACGGCTTTTTTGGGAATTGTAAACACTGCCACCTTTTCTCAACAGCAGCGCGAGGACGCTGACCTGCTACCACTCATAAATTACCTTCAAGGGTGAACAATTAGCGTGCCGAAGTTATTTGCGAGAGGACTGCCGTCGTACTCCTTTCGGAATGACGTCCTTTACAAGAAGTTTTTACCAGCTGTCAGCAGCTACTTTCTAGTCGTTCTTTCTACGCTTTGCCGTGAGATACTGCAAGCCTGGCACAACGAACCTACCGCTGGTCACTTGGGTTATGCAAAAACATTGAGAATAAGGCAAAACTATTACTGGCCAAAACTTACGTACTGGGATATCTTGATTGCCAGCGTTGCAAACCACCATTCATCGAACCAGCCGGTCTGCGGCAGCCTGTTCGAGTTCCGACGACACCGTTCGCACGAATTGCCACACATTTTCTGGGCCCCTTCACAAAGTCTGCCACTCGAAACAGGTGATAATCGTCGCCACAGATTACCTGAATTGATACGTGGAGACAGGTTCTCTGCCACGGGCAACGGCAGCTGAAGCAGCGCAATTTTCAATCCAAGCCATCGGTTTAAGACACGGTGCTCCCGCGATAGTCAACACCGACAGAGGTACTGTGTTCATGGCCGAGCTTTTGAACACCGTTTTCTAAGTGGTACGGCTCACAGGAAGCCAATGGCACATCATTCTCAGACAAGCGGGCTCACTCAACGTCTAAATAACACCCTTGCTGACATAATCAGTATGTACGTAGGCGTAGACCACGAGCACTGGGACGACATTTGGTCTTAGTCACATTCGCGTACAACACTGCTCGTCAGAAGACCACTCGGAAGACGCCCTTTAGTCTCGTTTACGGACGCGAAAGTAGCACAACGTTAGACGTGTTGTTCCCTCACGAAAATAAATGATGGAATTGAGACAGACGCCGAAGAGTTTACCGAGTGAGCAGAAGAAGCTGCGCAACTTGCCAGGTGGCGAATCACCGAACAACAAAGCGACGATGCCAAACAATACCTCCAGCACAGATTCTTCATATACAAAGTGGGCGACAGTGTTTGTCTGGATACCTATTCGTCAGCGTGGGCTCTTCGAAAAGCTGTTACGAAGGCACTTTGGACCCTACAAGGTTCTGTAACGCATCAGTGACGTCAACTACAAGGTTGTTACGGATGGTGTTCCGTGTTCGAAGCGATGCAAATATTCATCAGAAATAGTCCACGTGCTTCAAGAAGCCTTACTTTTAGTGACTAACCGCGCAGTTTTGGTTTTGCCTTGCTTGCCCAACATTCAAAATCGCGGATATGTTCTTTAAAAGAGAATATAGCTGCGCGTATGGGCAAGTGGCGGCGACAACGAAGCAACGCGAGTGTCCCTGGCCGAGGGCAGATACGAAAAAGATGTTGCAGTCTTTTTCCTTTGATCGATAAAGCGTATTTGTTCGAGGTGCTTTGTGTCCTCAGTGACCCCACAACATCACATTATGAAGGAACGTGGAGACAAAAAAACGCCTGTCCAGGGTAAGAAGTGTCTTTCTGTTTCGAGGGTTAGGTTTTGCAATATTTTACATACTATACGGTTAGACTTGGGCAGACTTATTGCAGCAATTTAGCAATCCTTGTAGCTCAAGTAAACGAAAACGTTCACTGTATGATTCGCAATTTGCACATTTCACTTCAGCTTGTGTTTTTTCATTGTTGTTTCGTATTGCAGGAAGGATTTGGTGTTGTGCACTGAGCTGGACACCTGTTAAATGTGCACGCCCAGGATTCCACCGTGTCTACTAAGAGTGAGCATATATGTCTTGTAAGAGTGAGTGAATATTTTGCTACCACAGAATTCGACAGAGACAACATAAGAGTCACACATTCGCCACAAAGAGTGGCGCCTTTTGCTCAAACTAGATCTGCAGTAAACTTGTTATGAGCAGCTTAGCTGCAAAATCCTGCACTCTTCAGTAAAACTCTTCTCTCTATATACTGACCTTTGCTTCTTCCGTCGTCATCTGCACTACTGAAATGCCAGTGTCAAAGCGTGCGTTCGGCTGGCCAGTTTGTTGAATTAGCAGCGTTGTGTCAATCAGGTTTTGTAAGATCCATGACCCTAGTAAGCTTAATGGGTTTGTCCACATCTCGATTCTGTGCAAAAGCAAATAAACAGGTGTAACTCTTGATTGGTAACATGAAAATTGCAAAGATGCTGCATACCTGGTTCACCTAGAATAGGGTGAACTAGCAGTGTGCATAGGTGGCCATGCAACACCAAACCAGTGAGGCATTTCTCGTAAGATATTTTTATGCGTCAAAATCGTAAATTTCTGTGCACAGTGCTAGTGACGCTGTTTCTATTCTGTCCTCAAGTTTTTTTTCCCGGATGATTCCAATCTTTATGCCTTTAAGAAAGCATGGATCAACTAGCCCCACAAAGTATTATTAACCTAAATATAACAGTACAGAGCACACTCTATGTTTGCATGAAAACAGAATGTAGAAACCGGCACTGTGCTGCTATTCTTAGGAAATCTACTTACACTGTATTGTTGAATACACTTCCGAAGGCATAAGTGGACAAGTATTCAAAGTAGTTCTCGTGGTACTTCTCCAGAAGAGTGCCTAAAACATTCGCAGCAAAATCACACGGTATATCTTCGCTCTTTAGAAGACCCTTGTAGCGCAGTGAATTGTTGTCCGCCGTATCCTCTCTAATGAATGTCTTTGTAGATGGTTCTGTAGCTTTCGTAGCGAACATAGTGCTTAATTTTATGTAGCTGCAAAAAAAGCAGGAGATCAACAGGTTATCTAAAACCGAAAACATTAGGCACTGAATTCATAGGATGCACTAATGAAGCATACTTGTACTTGTAGGTAAGATTGAACTAATGATTATCACTACCAGAATTGCCATTACATGAATACCTGATGGTTTCTTGAAGTCACAGTCAGCTTCACCTCTGCTTTCGTTTTCTGTAGCAAGTGCAAATTGATAACATGTCTCCTACACCCCCCCCCCCCGCATATCGTGTGATTTTTTCCCGAACAGAAAGTTGCGTGCGCTGTAGAAGGGTATAATGGAGCTCAAGCATAGTTAAAATAGGTTTTGAATGCAGGTTGACCACTATAAGATCACACCGCGTGCAGTGCCTGCCATCAAGTGCCCATCGAGTAGAGAGGAAACGCCTCTCCAGTCTTTAGCAATTAGGGAGCATAAAAGGACTCCAGGGAAAGGCGAAGGGGAAGAGCAGGCTGCGTTGCTTGATGTGAGTGCCTGGTTTTGCACGCACCGTTTAAAGAGGCTCAGGCGACGGTTTTAGGGGCGAAGCTCCTTATAGCGGCACCCGTTCGTCCCCCTTAGTATGTAACAAGTATATCATTTTGACCACCAAGGTGGTGCCGTTGAGAGACTTCTTCTGTGCGTTGTTGAACAATAAAAAATAGTGCTCAATGTACATGTCAATGGCTGCTAATGGGGAATGAGAGACAGGAGTATTCGGCTTTTAGTTAACGCACAGGCTGCGATCACCATTAGCAGCCATTGGCATGCACATTGAGCACTATCTGACAAGAAAGGGTTACTACGTTATACTCGCTGGGTGTAACCTCCTTAGCTTTAGAAAAGTTTAGCGAGCGTTGAGCCACAGTGCCATGAATACAATAAACTTGTATATATCATGAATGAACTCGAGGTGGTTAAAAATGGGAAGTAGATACGAAGCACAAGCCGTAAGAAAGTAAAAGCTGAATTCTCCGCCCCTCATTTCTCATTAGCAGCCATTGGCATGTACATTGAGCACTATCTGACTGAAAAAGTTTGCTACGTCACACTCGCTGGGCGTAATCTCCTTGGTTTTAGAAATTTTTAGCGAGTGTTGGGCCGCAGTGCCATGAATACAGTAAACCATGAACTCGAGGTTGTTAAAGGTGGGAAGTGGACCCGAAGCGCAAGTCGTAAGAAAGTGTGCGTGTGCCACCTCTCGTTTAGTCCTTGAAATGTCCGCTGGATGGCGGTGCTTCTATATGGGGAATATATGATCAAAAGATGCGAGATGGTGGTACTTGGAGTGTTGAATAGATGGACGAGCGGACACATAGACAGCTGCTTGGATGGACGCATGAACGGACGTAGGGGCGGCTGTATGGACGAACGCAGGAACGGACGCACGAATAGATGCACGCTCTGGCGGGCTGATGGACGCCTGGACGGTCACACTGACGGACGCATGGACGAACGGAAGCAAGAACGAGTGGACGGGCGAATTCTTCGCCCCACTCTCCATCATTCACTCCGTAGATATGCTGGCATTTTTTTAACTTGCTGCATTCTCATCTTTTACAGTACTTCGTGTGTAGAAAAGACAGCGTGAAAACCACATCAGCCGCTGATTAGGCCGCATTGCCTTAGCTCGGCTGTTTATTATTTATATACACGACACTTACGCAAAACAGTTTGCTGCTAAACTTTCACCATACATCATAGTGATTTGTAGCTGTACCATGCACTGGTTCAGCTTATATCGAAAGTACAGTTTGTCAATAAATTAGATAATAAATGTGACAACTTTAGTAGGAAACTGAGGGCACTTTGAGCATTTGTGTCTATCGACTATACATTATATTATAAATTGTACCAGTGCACATCAGCGCTAGCTCTGTGCTAGTGAGAAAAAAAGACGACGGCTTTCGTATGTCACGCTCTCGGCGTCCTGTGTACCGCAGCTGTACTGCAGCTGTCTTGCTTTCCCTGGTAGGTTTCTTGCTGAAACTACTCTGAAGAACACGCTTGTTACACTTGGTGGAGGTGCGGGGTAGAGTAGATATATCCTTCCGTGTTTAGGCGGCGGTAGTCAAAGCAAAATCTTATCAAAACATCTTTTTGCACACCAGCTCGACAGTAGAGGCTCAGGAACTGTTCTATTCCTGAATCTCGCAACGTTTCAGCATGTCATCGACGTTGTCGCTAATAATGTGGCGTTCAGCCTGCCATACTCGGAAGGGACGCTATCACAGGGTGGCATGATGACCGGTGTCAATACGATGAACCACTGCAGACGTGTGCCCCAATAATGGCTGGCCAATGTCGAAAAAGGCATGAAAGTGTTCAAGCAGTTGAAACACCTTGGTACGCTGGACTGGAGTAAGCGAAGCGCATTATCGATGCTACGCAGGAGGATGTTTTCGACCAGGGAGGTGGTAGCCGCGGCGGAAGTGATGGCCTTTATTGTCAACGGTGTCTTAACGCAAGTTGCATCCAAAAGAAATATGGCGTATAAACTGTCTTAATGGCCAACACATTCGCCGCGTAACAGAGTTGCCGAGCAAGGAAAGAGGTTGCACATGTAAACCACACCGGCACCATTCACAAGGGTAACGATGTCAAACGGGAGTATGAGGTTCCGTCAGCGTGCACAGTCTTCAGACGGTGTAAACAGGGTGGTCAAATAACAGAGTCGGATGAAACGGACACATGGGTAGAAGAGAACGGATAAATGGGAGTGACAGCAGCGACAACCAATTTAGGCACTGGGCTCGGGACGTCGACGACTGTGGTACTGAAAGGGGACAAAGCGAGTCGAGCTCCAGCGCAAACAACGACCGCATCGTGTGTAGTAAGGAAGTCTAAACCGAGGATCACGTCATAAGACGCATGTGGTAAGACAACGAAAGCTACAGTGTAGAATGCGTCATTGGTGAAAAGACGTGCCATGCACACCGCCACAGGCTTAACGTGCTGCGACCTCGCTGTCCGTAATAAAAGATCAGAAACGGGTATCGTCACTTTCTGCAGTTTGCCGCACAAACGTTCACCTAATATAGAAACGGCAGCTGCTGTGTCGAAAAGACAGTTCGTCGTGATACCATCAATAATAACCGCGATCTCGTTCGAAGGCGAACGATGAGGCCTTGAAATTTTTGACGAGGGCGCAGTTCGCGCCTCAGGAATTGTGGCTCTTGGTTTTCCTCTTGCGTAGGGTTGGCACGGCGTAGCATAAGAGAAACCGAGCGGCGCCGGGAAGCAAGAGATCGACGTGAAGGTTAGCTGGCACGGCGTGAATAAGCGCCCAATGAGTCGGTGGATACAGAGTGTGCTCGCTGCTGTGGCATGTAGTCAAGGTTGGGGATTTATTTGTTGGCATAACGACTGCGCTGACGAAGACAGTGATGAGCAACATGGCCAGCAATGCCGCAGGCGTAACAGATGGATCTGTTGTCTGGAGTGCGCCAATGGTTGTAAGGTGTACCGGGCGGTGAGAGGGGTTGCACGAGAACGGGGCTTCTTGGGTGAACAGGGCGTGGTGGCAAGTAAAAGTCGAGTACTGGGGCGGATAGTGTTGACTTCGGTCGAGCATAGGAACGGTTAACAGCCTCAGCAGAGGTGAGAGGCGCTGCAGGCTACGTTGGTGGCACACGAGGTGAAACCACCTCAGTGACTTGAGCCTGAATGGCACGACAGAGTGAGTGATCTAGTGCCGTGGGTCTCTCGGTGACAGATGTCACAATACAGAGCTGACGAGCTGCTTCCTCACGGATGTATTGCTTAATTTGCGGCAGCAAGGTGGAAAATGCAGCACCAGTGCTCCTATCTTTCAAAGATGAGAGTTCTAGTGCGGGATTTTTGGTGCGACGTTGAACGTCTGAAACGCGCATTCCCATCTGCTCCAGGCGTCGTTTACCGACGACCACGTAACCTCAAAGACACCCTTGTCCACTCCCAAATTAACACATCACCACCCAATAATTCATGCCGCCCTTGCTTAAAGCCACGATGTCTTGTATGTAAGGCGATGCGAGAAACAGACAAAGCAACCAGCACGCAATCCAAGTTTTCGATTAACATACGAGGAAACCTAACATGCGATTCTTCTAATGTGGTGTACCTACTCGAATGCAACGTGTGTGGTATGCAGTACATCGGACAAACAGAAACACCATTTAGGATTCGCTTCAATAATCACAGAGCCCATGCGAAATCAGCCCCAAGTCTACCTCTATCAAAACATCTCAATCTTCCCGACCATGCATTCGACAAACTATCAGTAACGCTCTTAGAGACGGGATTTAAATCAAATCGAGAACGTGAACAACGAGAGTCATACCTTATCCACCGATTTAACACCCTCGATAGAGGAATAAATGAGAATCCTGGTACACTTGCAGCAATTAAAGCATTAGAAAACAATAACGGCAACAATGAAAATGGTAACTGAGTTCACGGCACTGCAGCTGCGAAGGGCACTGGACAACCTAAAACAATTCCAAGTGTAACTACTCTTCCTAAGTGCAGCTGTCGTCTGTTTTGTTTTATTTTACTACCCAATCAATTGTGTCATGCACGACATGCCCAGCAGCAACCATGTGCACAGCCAGGAGGCCCCCACGACACGCGTAATTTAGAAGCGGGCCGGGAATTCGCATTGCACGCGCTTGCACAGCCTACCGCAATACGGGGCACCCCTATTTTTACGACGAAATGTTGACAGGGCGCGGAGTAGTTAAAGGCTTAGAACTTCCTAAAATGCCCGCTGACCAGCCTCTGCCACAATACGCGGCCCCCGTCCTTCTACGACGAATTGTTTACGGGGCCCCGAGTAGTTAAAGGCTTAGGACTTCCTGAAAAGCTCTTTTTTGCCCCACACCGAACCGCCAGTGCCAGGAAGGGCCGTCTGATCGGGAGGAATGCGCTAGTGAACGGAAACATACACAGACCGCTGACTTCAGAAAGGTGAAGGGGAGAGGGGGGGAGAGATGGGGGGGAAGTGGAGGGAAAAG